GCTCCAGAAGTGACTACTTCATTCAAAAGAAACAGGACAGCTAAAACAGAGGTTGTTGGGGTAGGGGTGGGGGGGGGAGGGAAGGCAGAGAGGAATACTGTATACTAAGAAGATATTCTCAGGGAAGGAAATCCAAGAACCAAAACAATGAAGTAGAACAAAAAGTATTTGGATGAAGGTCGAAGAAGGATACTACAGACCACCTGCACAGAAAGAGGAAACAGATGATGAGTTTGGGAAACACATCATAAGCCTGGCACATAGGCAAGACATAGTAGTGACAGGTGACTTCAATTATCCAGACATCTACTGAAACTCTGTCAAAAACAGAGCAGCTAACAAATTGTGATTAGCCTTAGTGATCATTTCATTCTTTAAAAAGGTAAGGGAAACAAGGAGGAATTCTATTCTGGATGTAATTCTCACCTTTGGGGGAGAAGCTGATGGCTAGGGCGAAAATGACGGGAACCTTGGAAGGTTCACTCCATCCTAGAGTTTCTGACAGAGAAGAGAAAATATGGATATAGTCTGACATAGCCTAGATTTGGGGAAAATCATTTAAAAAAGTTCAGAGGAAAGGCAGGTAGGATCCCATGGAGTCAAATGCTATAGGGGAAGTCAGCCCAAGAGAGATGGGAGGAGCTCCACAATGGAATTGTTTTTTGGTCTTTTTTTTTAGGCAGTTGGGGTTAAGTGACTTGCCCAGGGTCACACAGCTAGTAAGTGTCAAGTGTTTTGGTCGGAGGCCGGATCTGAACTCAGGTCCTCCTGACTTCAGGGCCGGTGCTCTATCCACTGTACCACCTAGCTGCCCCTCCACAATGGAATTCTGAAGACACAAAGGGAAACCATTCCAATGAGAAGGAAAACCTGGACATCTGAAGAGACTCGTTGTTCGTCTTTCCTTTTCAAAGAGGACCGATGATATCAAGAGTGGTGTCTCGGGGCAGCAAGGTGCAGCAGTGGGTACAGCACTGGCCCTGGAGTCAGGGGGACCTGAGTTCAAATATGGCCTCAGACACACAACACTAACTAGCTGTGTGATTCTGGGCAAGTCACCTAACCCCACTTGCCTCACCAAAACAAATCAATCAATCAATCAATCAATCATGTCCTGACTCGCACGTGAATTGGATTTAAGGGAGGCCAAGACGCGCAGTTATCGGCCTCACTCTCTCTTCTAGTCATCCAAGTCCACTGGACAGACAAAAGTCAGGACGACTAATGCAGTGGATGGACGTCTGACTGAGCTCTAAGCGCTCCACAGCGCCTGCTCCCGCCGCCTTCGCTGCTCTCTGCCTATTCCACCGGGGGAGTCTTCACATGCTTGGGGCAGACACCTCCTTAACTCACCAGCAGGACAGGAAACTCGCCAAACAACGGACTGTAATGTGAACTGCACAAAGAACAGAAGAATTTCAGGGCCTGGCATACAGGCCTGTGGAAACAGCGTCAGGGATGCTCAGAATGAGTCGAGGCTGCTCTGAAAGAAGCAAAGGACAACAAAAACAGTCGGGGTCGTTCTCTGGGAGGAGGGGGTGTCTTTTTGGCTATACCAGGAGGAAAAAAGTGCCAGAGAAGGGGTGGGACCTTTGCTTAAGGTGGACAAGACCACCGACAACAGACAGAAGCTGAGCTGTTCCTGTTACTGCGTTTTCTTGGCACGGGTGGATGACTTTTGTGAAGGAAATGACAGATGGGGGAGAGGCGAGTGCGCAGAAATCAGTAGAGAGTAAGAGAGAACCCCACGGCCCTGGAAAAATTCACATCAGCAGGCCCAGACGGCTGGGTCCTCAAAGAGGCGGCAGCCAGGAGCCACTGTCAGCGATCCGGGAGAGACTGTGGACAAGGAGGGAGGTACCAGGAGACTGGAGAAGAGCACAGACTGTGCTGATCTTTTTTTTTTTTTTAAAGACAACGCAAGTTTATTCATGAAAAATAAATTATCCAGATATATAGCTCAATCAACACAGAGGTCAAGGAGATGAAATTAAATACATAGTAAGGAGTCAAGAGGCAGGTCAAGTTTGGATATCCTACAACATGAGACACTTCAGATCCCCATAATAATGGGCTACACATGGGGCAGGTCTGTTATCTCTCTTTTTAAAAAATTTATTAATTTATTTTGAATTATCAACAATCACTTCCATATGCTTTTGAGTTGAATGTGCTGATCTTCAATGACAGGAAAGAGAACTGAGCCTCTGAGCCACTGTCCAATGAGCACGGTGGCAATGCTTGGAAAACTTCTAGAATCCATCATGAAAGAGATGGTAGGAAAACATCCTGACGGAGAAGACGTGCTTCTGAAGAGCAGCAGGACCAGCAGCAGCAGCTTATGCCAGATTGAGTGACTTTTTCACAATATTAGTGAACTAGCTAGGGCAATGCTGAGGATGCCATTTGTCCGTGTTTCAGCAAAGCATCGGATAAAGTTTTAAACCATCACTGTGGAGAAGATGGAGAGGGATGGATGAGACACAAAGGTAATCCAGTGGATTCAGAAGGGGCTGGGATGGCCAGACTCAAAGAGCAGCTGGACATTTTTATCAATCCCTTAGATCATGGCAAAGAAGGAATCCTCATAACATTTATAAATGACACAAAAATGCATGACAGCGTCAGCATCCAAGAAGATCTGAATAGGCTGCAGCTAACAGGATGAAATTCAACAGGGATAAACAGGAGCATGCGCTCGTGCGTGCGTATACAGACACACACCCGTGCACACAGAGGCACACGCACGCACACGCACACACACTCCCCAATTTCTCAAGACAGTAGAGGCATATAGAGACAGTAATTATCCAAAACAAGCCACGGAGATTTTAAGTCACTGGAAGCTCCACGTGAGCTAGCACCATGTTGGGCTGAGCTTCCAGAAATAGAGAGGTGAGAGTCCCCCTGTGCTCACAGGGTCTTGTGTTCAGTTCTGGGGACCAAGGTTTAAGGAAGACACTGATTAGCTGGAGTGTCCAAAGAAGGGTGAACAGGACACTGACGGGCTTCAAGTCTGTGTCACGTGAGGACTGGTTAAAGGAATCTATTTAGACTGAAGAAAAGAAAACTCTGGAGGACATGAAGATAGCTAGCTGTCTTTGAGTATCTGAATGGCCATCATGTGGACAAGGGATTAGATCAGTTCTACTTGGCCCCCAACTTGCAGCCATGGGCAGAAATTACAAAAGGGTAAACCTCCTAACAAGGAGAGCTATTCCAAAACGGAATGGGGCTGCCTCGAGAAGCAGTGGCTCCCCATTGTCTGCGTGACCACTCGTATGTTCTAGTGCTAGCTTATGGTACTGTCCCTACACACTCCAATCCAAGTGGTCAGATCCCCCACGTTGAGAACACATGCTTTTTGCACCTCCAACTCCCAGAATCCTTTGCTTGTTGCAAAGCCTAGTTAGGCAGGGACCATCCCCCACCTCCAACAGGGGTTAGCTTCTCTGAGACTTCTTGAAATTATTCTGTCTACATTCCGAATTGCCCTTAGTGACAGAGCCCCCCAACGTAAGCTCTCAGAAGGCAGGGGATCCTGGAATTGTTTCGTTTTTGTCCTTGGGGTATCCTGCTCATAGCAGGCACTGAATGTTTACTAAAACGAAAGCACACGTGCACATGCACACATACACCCACATATCTTTCTCCCTGAAGGTACTTCTTTTGGACATTTATGCAGAAAGAAATTTAAAAAATAAAATCAAGAACAACATCAATGGCAAATTTATTGCTGCAGCACACTAGAAATAAAGTGTAGTGTCGCTAATATACAGAGTTTAATAACTGGGTTTTATTAACTACAGGAGAAAAAACACATATGATTTGACATAACATAATGAAAAATTAAAGCACAGGAAAAATAATGTCTACAACTTCAGCTCTCTCTCTCTTTTTTTTTTTTTTAAGGCAACTGGGGTTAAGTGACTTGCCCAGGGTCACACAGCTAGTAAGTGTCAAGTGTCTGGTCTGAGGCCGGATTTGAATTCAGGTACTCCTGACTTCAGGGCTGGTGCTCTATCCTCTGCGCCACCTAGCTGCCCCTCAACTCTCTTAAGTACATAAAATAAAGGTGCTCAGAGCCAAGAGAGGCCCCAGGTGCTGGGCTCAAGGATCAGAGTCAAGAGCCAAAAAGATTGTCAACCTCCTCATTTACAGATGGATATGTGGCTATTGTTTAAAGCTAATTCTCAGTACTCAAATGTTACATGTTCAAATTTAAATTTCAAAACCATCTACCAAAACCCCCTATATTATAAAGTTTATAAACTTAATTTTGAAAAATATTGTAATTCAATTCAATTCTAATTCAACAGCTTAAATTTCTAAAAGTCTAACAACAGAAAAAGAAAGCTCAATTAGGAAAATCTTTGTACTTTCTTTTTTAGCTCTAATTGTCACTTAAAAATACTTATTCCATAAGCTTCTGCTAAAGTAAAACTGTATAAGCAAAAATTAATCCAAGTTTAATATTTTAAGAAAAATAATAAAGTGACCAAGCCTTGGGTGATAAAGAACAAATACTAACATTTAAAGATGCTATTAAGAAGTTAACAACACACTACTGAGCTGTGGGAAAAAAATTAAACCATGATTAAGGGTGTAGAAACTGTAGTAGACAACAATCCACTCTACTCTAAGAAGGTTCTTAGGATAATTACAGTAACTCATTCAGGCTGAAGGGCAACTCTTTGAACCAGGTCATTCTAATAATTACCACTGTTCATGACAAATTCCTGTTTGTACTGTGTTGCAGTCTACTCCAGCCCATATCCTGGGGCCTCTCCTGCGTAATACTCATTTTAAACTCTTCAGAGAATATAGTGCTCCATGTCTTACAATAAATAGAATATACTGATATTAAAAAGATGAACCTTAAAGATGTCAAAAGATGTAACTTAATGCTGGAGGCAGAGGTGTGTTCTCAATCTGTACAACCAATCTGGAAAACAATTTGGAATTATGCAAAGAAAGTAAAAATGCCCATATGCTTTTACCTAGAGATTCCACTGTTGGGCCAGTAAAGGCTCCATGCAGACCCAACGCACCATTTGTGGTAGCCAATACCTGGAAACAAAGGCGATTCTCATCAATTAGAGGATAGCTAAACAACCAAGGTATATGAATGAAATGAGCTATAACTGCCATAAGCAATTAGGAACCTAATGAATACAGAGAAGTATGGGAAGACTTATAGGAACCGATAAAAAGTTAATGGAATAAGCAGAACCAGAAAAATAATAGACATAATGACAATAACATTGTAAATTAAAAAAAAAGCAGCAGCAGCAAAACAACTTAGGATACTGGGAAATGACACGTGCAGCGCCTCTGCCCTCTTTGCACTTTCTTTGGGGGGGGGGCACAAACACGTCCAACTTCTGTGATATGTCGGTTAGTTTTTCTGAAATTTTTTTCTTCATATTTTAAACAAGTTTTTATTATAAGGGTTGGCTGTCTGAGAGCAGGTTGGGGGAGGGTTATGGTGGGAAATGTAGGTGAAATGAAAGCTAACGATAAAAATATACTTTTCAAAACACATGGCCCTTTTTCAGGAAGAAGTATGAGGACCATTAAAATAACTTTTCAATTTCCCCAAAGCCCCCAGCCTGCTCTTCCTGTTTAGCAATGGGCTCAACTCATTGTCCATCTGCTGTGTTTGTCCAAAATGGACACACAATAAATTGAGAGGCTCTAAGAGTCAGTTATTTAATTGACCACAATACTACTGACAATAAGAAATTCTTCATCCATTGGACTTTTTCTGTAAGAATGCTTAGGCTGTACACGTACAAAAATATTCATAGCAGCTCTTTTTGTGGTGACAAAGAATTGGAAATTGAGGGGATGCCCGTCAACTGGAGAATGGTTGAACAAGTTGTGGTATATGCATGTAATGGAATACTATTGTGCTATAAGAAATGATGAGCAGGCCGACTTCAGAAAAACCTGGGAAGACTTGTATGGACTGATGCTGAGTGAAGTGAGCATAACCAGGAGAATGTCGTACACAGTTAACAGCCACGTTGTGTGATGAGTAATGTTGACAGACTTAGCCCTTCTCAGCAATGCAAGGATCTAAGACCTCATGATGGAAAATGCTATCCACATCCAGAGAAAGAACCATGCAGTCTGAATGCAGATCAAAGCAGACTATTTTCACTTTTTTTGTGTGTTTTTTTCCCCTTTTGGTCTCTTTCTTCCAGAAAGCGAGTTCTGGATTTAAATGTCACCTCACCTCCTCATCTCCCAAAGCCTCTGTTTCCTCTTCTGTAAAATGGGAACAATATCTATAGCGCTCGATACTCTCGATGACTGAGTTTGTCAATGTTCTACTGAGTACGTACAATGTGCTACAAACCTGAGAGCATTATGGGAGTGTCAATTATTATCTGAAAGTCAACATAAAAGAACAATACACAGCTACAAGTAACAAGGCCTGTTTTCCCTTTCTGGCCACGTCTCCCACTATTGACCAAGTATAAATATGTGCCCACATGTAATGGAGAAGCTACGATCTGGTTGGATGGTTGAATACAAGCTTCTGGGAAGTCCTGGAATCTGGACCACAGATCAGTGAGAAAAGGACAAGGAATTCTGAAGGGACAGGCGCCCAAGCACATAAAAGGCAGGGCAGAGAACATGAACAGATGAGCACTGAGGCCTGATGGAGGGCCCTGCAGAGCAGGCAAGGCTGGGAATTTTGATGTGATCTACTCAGGGACAGGCTGGTAGGTGGAGGAGCGGATAGAGTGCTGCGGCCACAGTCAGGAAGACCTGAGTTCAAATTTGGTCTCAGATACTTCCTAGCTGTGTGACCCTGGGCAAGTCACTTTGCCTCAGTTTCCTAATCTGTAAAATGAGAAGGAAGTGGCAAACTATTCCAGGGTATCTGCCAAGAAAACCCTAAATGGAGTCACGAAGAGTCATATGATTGAACAACTCAGGAACAACTATAAGTTCCCAGAGGAATAATGTAGTATTATTTCATAAACAAGGTTAATGACATGGACATGAAGAGAGAAGAAACTACAGGCTCTGAAAGTCTGAGGGGCCCCAGAAGGGCCACTTTCTGAGGCCTTGGAAACACTTTACAAGGGGCAGGGGAGCATCAGGTTATTAGACACTGTCCATTAAGATCACCTAAATTCCCTTTATCCCAACGCTGCTCAAACATATGAGTGATGCAGGCTGACGAGGTCTCTCTTCCAGTGCCAAAGAGCGAACACGAGAAACCAGAGATGATCAACCCATCTTCCTCCAGCACCCGGTCGCTTCCGGCCAACCTAAGATACAAAGCTGAAGAATCTGGATCTGGGAGGATCTTCACACAGTAAAGAAACTTCCAGGGGGGTCCTGTCCAAAACAGACGGCTGGCTGCTTCCCCATTTCAACAAAAACAGAGGAAACATGTCCAAAGACAGCACAAACAGCCAAAGGAGCACGGCTAGGGGCGGCTGGAACTTAAAGGAAGAAAAGCACAGGCGGCAGAAAACTGAACACATTGGTATTCCACTAGCTTTTCAACAGTTTCAGGCAGTGGCCCAATTATATTGAGAGCTTGTCCTTCCTGTACGACTCAGTAACCTCTTCGGCAGCTGGGGAGGAGACTTCAGTAGCCTGAGAGAGCAGGCCTCTCTGCTCAGGACACCCGAGCCCTGCTGGCTGAGGACTCTGCCCCGCTCTGTCCCTTTCACTGCCACTGAAGGCAGCTGGCCAATGCCAAACGCCATAAGTGGATCCCTGGGAGGGCGGGGGATCTAAAGCCTACTTCCTTCACGCTGGCTCTCCAAGATAAGCCCCAGTGAGTCACCACCTTCTAATTCAGACTAACAATCACTCTTCTAGACTCAGCCTTGTATTAGAACCTTAAGCTAGAAAGCGAATCCTAGTGCCAGGATATGCCCAGTGAAGCCTACTGCTACTTGGACAGAGTCAGAATTGTCTCCTTGAACCTTCTCTGAGTCACAAGAAGTTTGTTAAAACAAGTAGTCAGATAAACAAGGGTCAGGGTTCAGAGAACCTCTCCAGTTCTATAATCCAGGTCCTGTAAAATAAAGCTACAGGGAGGGAGGGAGAGGGAGAGGGGCGTGGGGGGGGGGAGACACGGGAGGGTAGGAGGGTGGGAGGGAGGGGGAGGGAGAGAGGAAGGGAGGGGGAGAGGCAGAGAGAATTATGCCATAGTTAAGCTATAAAGCAGGTATTAACTTTCTAACAGGAATCCCACTGTTTAGCATTCTCTTACTGCTGATTACATATGCTGAATGTGGGGTGCACGGAACTCCATGAATTTCCTATATTCCTATCATACTAAAATCTTATCCTTTGTTTTTCACCAAAAGAAGTTATTAATTTATACTTAATGTTCAAATACCTCTTCCTTAAAAGGATAGTACAGCTCTTTATGGACAAAACAAGATTTTAATCACATCCAGAATTCAAATGGAATTATTTTTGTCATCTTAAATTTTACCTTTTGTTCAGTTGTTTTAGTCATGTCTGACTCTTCATGACCTCACTTTTTTGTCGTTTGGTTTTTTCCGGCAGAGATACTGGAGTGGTTTGCCATTTCCTTCTTTAGCTCATTTTCCAGATGAGGAAACTGAGGTAAACAGGGTGAAGTGATCTGCCCAGGGTCACCTAGCTACCGAGTGTCTGAGGCCACATTTGAACTCAGCTTTTCCTGACTCCAGGCCCAATGCTCTATCTACTGCCCAAATTACACCTAAGGATTACCATTAAGAAAAAAAAATCTTGTATGTCTTTATAAGGAAAATACTCCTTCCCCATCCAAAGGAATGGCTGAAATAAATGGCCGTTCGATTATCCTGTGAGACAGCTGCTTATTCCTGGGCCTTTCTGCGTTGCCCCTCCATGCCAATCTGCAGAGTCTCAGGTTAGCACAGGTGAGTCCCTCCCAGGGGGAGGGCATTTCTCCCACTCGCTGGGGGCATCCCACCAAAGACACACATTAGAGGTTACTGATTTCAGCAGCACTGCCAAGGCTTAGAGCAGGGGTGCGGAAGCCACCACTATGGCCTGGAGGCTGCAGTTTCCCCACCCGGACTCTGAACTTTTTTGAAATCCCTCTTCAGAACCGTCTTCAAAGTCTCTCACAAGCCACAAAAGAAAACCGCTGTCATTATTTTACAGGCCGCTTCTTTGAACAATCCCCAACTCCGGCGGTGACCCTCATTCAGCCTTGTCAACCACATCTATTCACTAGGCCCCCAAATCCCATTCATCTTCAAATGATGACGTTCTCCTGCCACCAAGAACGTTCAGAAGAACGCAGTCTGGATCTGAAGTCCTGTCCCCTCACTGAAGGGACGCAGAGTCCCATTAGGGACATAAGACACATACTTCGGAGTTTAAAAACAAACAGAAAACACGTCAAGATAGCAAACTATGCCAAATGAGTGGTGCCGACAATAACTTCAAGGACAGTTTAAAGAAGGCCTTGGGGAGAAAGGACTTGGGTCTTTAGGGAAAGGTGGTGAGAAAAAGGAACAGACAGACCAAGTAACTGTCTAACTGGGAGCAGCCAGGTGGTATGGTGGTAGAGTCAGGAAGACCTGAATTCAAACTCAGCCTCAGACAATAGCTGTGTGACTCTGGGCAACCACTTTTTGCCTCAATTTCCTCAATTGTAAAATGGCGATAATAATAGTACTCACCTTGCAAGACTGTTGTACAGATCAAATGAGATAATTATAAAGCACTTAGCACAGCGCCTGGCAAATACTAAGCGCTATGTAAGTGCTAGTTATTATGATTAATAATTATATAACTGTTCAATTGCATAACTGAGCAAAGGCCCCAAAGCAAACATGCAGACGCCACATTCCACTGAGCAGACAACGAAGGCTGCAGTGAAGGGCATGGGGTTACTAGGAGAACAGTGTAAAGAGGTAAGGTGAGGCCCAGACTGGAGACAATCCCTACAGAGCTACACCTGAAAAGTTTGGAGGGCTTTCTTTAGGGGGAAAGAGGAAAGACATGAGAGGAACATCTGCCCCTCTCTCTAGCTCCTTCCACCTGAGTTTGACCCCAAGCCCTGGAGTGCCACAGAGGCAGCTCTAGGCTAGACTTGGGCAGGCCCTCCCAGGCCGGGCAGCAGAGTGGCTGAAGGGAGATGAGCATTCCGGGCCACAGAGACCCTCAGAGACCACCTACTCAGGCAGAGAGAGGATGCAATCGGCTTCAACGGATGCAGCGCCCACGAGGGCAAACTTACAAATTCTTGCAGCATTATCTTCCATCAAGGGAAGAAGGGCCGTTTGGCAGACTGCTGGAGCTATGGTGGCAAAGGGGACGGAAAGGAAAGGACAGCTTCAACAAGCATCATCACAGAGGAAGAATGAACAGAAGAATCTGGTCACTAACTAGATGTGCAAGAGAAGAGCTGAGTCAGGAAACAACACAAAGACTTCAGGCTTGGGACAAGATGACAGACATGTGGAAACCCACAAGTGTTTTTTACGAAATGGAAGCATGGGGAGGTGGTGGTACAGGAACTCCGTCTGGGTGCACCCTGGGGCATCCAGGCTGAGCTCACCTGCGCTGAGCACAAGACCTTGCACATGACGGGCAAACCTAGAGTGGGTCAACTAGTAAGCCCAAGAGGCTAAGGTTTGGAAATCTTAGGATTACAGAATTTTTTTTTTTGGGGGGGGGGGTTAGGCAATGGTGTTAAGTGATTTGCCCAGGGTCACACAGCTAAGTAACTGTTATGTGTCTGAGGCCAAATTTGAACTCAGGTCCTCCTGAAGCCAGGGTCAGTGCTCTATCCACTGCGCCACCTAGC